GGCCGCCCAGGGCCACCACGCGCGTGCCGTGGAGACGCTGCTCAGGCATGGGGCTCACATCAACCTGCAGAGCCTCAAGTTCCAGGGCGGCCAGGGCCCTGCCACCGTGCTCCTCCAGCGCAGCAGGACCTAGCCTGCCGCCCGCGGCCGTCTGCGTGGGCTTATTGGGCAGCGCTGACTGGGCGTGGTACGCAGAGGCTGTGCCCGGCCACTCAGCTGTCCTCTCAGGGGCGGTGCTCCCGGGCATAGTGCCCTCCGCTCAGTGTGTTTGCGTGTCAGGAGGGTCGCTGCGTCAGAATCATTTCTGTGGGCTCTTTGGTGACAAAGCCCAAGCCGGGATGTCCCCTCCGTCCCAGAGCAGGCCGAGGGAGAGGTGCGCAGGGAGCCGGTCTGTCTTCCCTGGCAGTGGGCGGCACAGCCCGGCCCAGCTGGGGGTCGCGTGGCTCCCGCCGTGGGAGCCCTCCGTGGACTTGTCACTCAGACCTGCTGAGAGCATTCCCCACGTGGCCAGCCAAGCCTGAGGGGGACAACTGCAGCTTCAAAGCACAGTCCTCCCTGTCATCCCACCCGGGGGCCTGCATCCCTGGCCCTGCCCCAGGCTCTTGTGTGCTCCACATTGTCCAAACCTCCTTCGGACTTCAGAGCCACCTGTGTAAAAGTCAGTTTAAAGTTTTTACTTCGTACCTTCAGATTTGGAGTACAAACGGCGTTGCTAGAGGACAGAAGTCTTGCTGGGCTCTGGGGAGGTGGGAGCGCTGCCTGGGGTGTGGCCGGAAATCTCTGAGGCATCGGGGGTGCGGCCCTGGCGGTGCAGATGGGCCCGAGGAAGGGAAGGCTCTGGGTGGGGCCTGGCGAGCGGGTGGGACCGCCAAGTAGATGCTGGTGCGCAGTGAGTGTGAGTGTGGGTCGTGAGCAGGACGCGTCTTCCGTCCCAGGAGGGGCCCGGCCGCGGAACTGGCTGTGTTTAATGGGCCCGACGAGCTTGGAGACATAGGGTCCAGTTGTTGCGGACTCGACACCAGAGTGTCTTTGATGTCAATAAAGCAAAGTACTTGTCAACTTTTGGGAAGACTGCTGATTCTTGCTTTTGTTGTTACAGTTTTTTCTGGAATAATCTAATTTCCAGGAAACCAGAGATCTGAGCCTGTGCGCACAGGCCCGAGTGTGGCCTTGGCCTGCTGTGCCAGCCCCGCTCCGGTGCCAGGCGGGAACCAAGGCCTAGGAACTTATTCTTGCTATGGCTGCCACTTGGCTTTGCTTCCTGTTTTGTGTATGTGAGAGTGTGTCTCTGTTTTTGTGGTTTTGTGGGAGTTTTTTGGGTACTGGGGGTCAAACTCAGGTCCTTGTGCTTGTTGCAAGGCAGTCCGTGGAACCACTGAGCTAAATCCCCAGCCTTGTGTTTCTGAGACAGTCCTGCTCTGTAATTCAGGCTGGCCTCGAACTCAGCCTCCTGAATGCTGGGATTACAGGTTCACGTTCCTCTTATTTCCCTTCCTGTCTTGAAATTATGATGTTGTGTTTGTGATGGTGCTCACATCCTCGCTCATTCCCTCCCTCTCTCTCTGCCCCATCCTGACCGCAGTGGCTTCCAGGATGGAGCCTGAGTAACTCACAAGGCCCCCTGGGAGAAAGTGCCCCTTTGTTCCTGGAACAGGGAACCCTGGTGAGTGACCTCCGTGATAGCTCGGGTTCCTGTAGCCCCAGCCTTGCAGCTCTGCAGCCCTCCCAGCCTTCCTGCCACCAGCCAAGTTCAGCTTGGACCCCACCCTGACCCAGGCTTGGCCTCTGCTACCCACATGGAAAACCCAGGCCCCAGGACATTTTCTTCCTGGGCCCAGCTCCCTGCAGCCAATTGGTGAACTGCAGGTGCTGGGCCAGGAGCCCCACTATGCCTGTGGTTGGCACAGCCCCCAGGGGCACCCAGAGCCACTCCCGAGGCAGAGGGCTGGCACAGGGTCTCCCTGAAGTGCCCACCCAGATAGAAGGGCCCCCTCCCTTCGGTGCAGCTGTCCCGGGACCCAAGGGCACAGGGAGTCAGCATTCGGGATGGGGTTCCCGGTCCCACACTGGCCGGGCTCTTGAACCTCAGCCTCCGGTTGGCTCAGTGACCCACGCAGCACAACTGGCAATAGCTACAGCTTGGGAGTAGCCTGGAGTCCATCACTGGATGAGTGGACAAAGGACCTGTGGCATTTACACACCATAGGGGAGTAGTAGAGTACTACTGTACTATCAGGAAGGGTAAACTCAGGCATCCATGGGAAAATGGATGCACCTTGAGACCACATTGAGTAAAGAAAATCGCACACACATACACTCAAATACTGCATGGTTTTCCTTACAGGAGAAACAGAGCAAAGTAAAAGATAACAGGAAGTAGAGAGGTAGATTGCATATGGAAAGGGCTCAAGAGAGGAAGGGGACATAAAGAACCAACACCCCACGTGTTCACCACCAACCAGGAGTGTAATGTCCGCAAACGTGGACACGCACAGGTGAGGCCAGGCACACTTTCCAGCGGCCTTCCTCCTCCCCTCCCAGGGAGATTATCACATGGAGCCAGGAGCTCAGAGCCCCAGGGTACCAGTGCTGCCCTGGCCTCCAAGGGCCTGAGCTGCAGAGACACCCAGGGACGCCACTGGCCCCTAGTGCACCCGCTGAGTATGTCCAGCCCCGCTGGCAGAGAGAGCTGTTCCCCAGGGCATCCCCATGCTCAGATCTCCATGCCTGGAAGCTGGTGTCACATGACCGGAAATGCCCTAGCACTTTGTCTTTCATTTATTTAATTTTAATTTTAATTTTTGTTGCTCTACTTTGCAATACATAACGATCAAGTCTTAGTTCTTTCGACATCTCCTTTCTTCCCACACCCCTCCCTCTATCTCTTGGTTCCCTTCGCATTTGCAAAAGATCTACACTATCTCCCTGCTTCCTGTCCATCTTTGTTTTCGCTCCTTAGCATATTTATACTGTGGGTTTCTCCTATAAGAGAATCCATATGATACTTAAGCTTCTGTGTCTGATTTACTTCACATTATGGTCTCGTGGTGCATCCATTTTCCTACAGATGACTCGAGTTTATCCTTTGTGGCAGAGTCGTGCTCCATGGTGGGAAAACACGGCATTCACTTGTTGCGTTCATCTACTGATGGACATAGCAGCTTCCAAGTCTTAGTGATTCCGAGTTGTGCTGCTATAAACATGGGTGTGCCTGGGCCACTGTAACAGGAGGTCTTTATCTCCTTCAGGAAGATACCAAGGAGCGGAATACACAAAGACATGTTTAACACCTCTGGCCAGTAGAAAGATGGAAATTAAAACCACACAGATTCCGTCTTGCTTCAGAATAGCCATCATCAAGAACTGAGACAATAACAAACGCTGGAGCTGGAGGGGGCACTCTCCGTTCTACGTTGTTAATGTAAACAAAAACTACTGCAACCACTGTGGGAATCAGTATGAGGATTCCTTGAAACAAAATTTTTCCCTTTTCTAGAGGGGATTAGGATACTGGTACACTGTGTGACCCACGGCATCTCAGAATTGGGACAATATGGAGGCCTGGCAGTGCCTACCCTAAAACAAGCCATGGGGTCCAGGGAGGAGACTGTTCCAACTGACCAGACTCAGGCTGGAGATGCCACCTCCAGTGTGGGACATCTGACCAGAAAGTGGCCTGGAGGCCAGGAAGCCTAGCCTCAGTAATCCTCAGGGCCCTCCGGAGAGAGCCAGGGACACTGGCAGAGTGCCCAGGAGATTTGTGTAGTGTGTGTCTGCATTTCCTCAGGAAAGCAGATCACAGGGCTCCCTGATCCAGAGCATTCCCCTCAGAACCATGGGAGCTTCTGGAAGGTTCTGGAGCATTCTAGAAGGGCTGCTCCTCAGCTTGCAGCAGAGACTGTGGGTGGAGGCAGTGAAGACATAGCAGGTGGTTGGAGTGACGATAGGCCACCCACTGTATCCATCAGAGTCCTGTCCCTGTCCTCAGCGAGGCTCCCACACTGAGGCTAGAGTGAGGGAAAAAGCCTTCTCCAGCCACTGTAATCTGCCTGGAGGGAGGCACCAGCCCAGGTTAACGTCACTGCCTAGGATCGTGCGAGGCCCGACTCCCAAGCCAGGGAGACCTAAAAGAAGTCACCACAAACAATCCTGTGCTCAGGGTGCCGCCTCAGCTGGTTTGAGGGGTAAGAGAACATTGTAGAACCTCCCACATAACTGCCCGGGGTCGTGATAAGGGCACTGAGGAAGTTGTTTTCCTGCCTAATGGCAAGGGCTGTCACTTGTGTGGAAAGTATTTCGTGCAAACAAGGAAGCTTAAATGGAAAAACCAAAATCAAAGAGCACACATGTTACAGCGACCAGGAAGAGGATGTGTCAGAGAAGGCAAGGAGGCAGGCCAGCGATGGTCCGTCACACGTGGACTGACGTGCTGGTGAGTGTCCGCCCATGGATGTGTGTAGCTCTGCAGAAAGCAACCTCAAAGCGTGAATGAGCTGGCCCCAGGGAGTCGGGCTTTGAAGTTACCACATCTGGGCCAGATGCTGGTACTTGGCATGGGGCCTGGAGGTTTCCACAAGCCTCACCCTCTGTGGCTACTAAGAGAGCCCGGTCTCCCTGTGCCAGCTTCCTCTTCCTTATGTTGCTGCCTGGACCAGCTGGGCCACTGGGAAAATGAGACCCAGGTGAGGTGGCAGCTGGTGGAGTCTGTGGGTGGGGCCGACGGAGAAAGGATAGTGGCACCTTCCTCCTTGGGCTGTGGCCACGGGAGCTCCGGGCTGAGCCTTTCCTCCTCCTCTTTCTTACTTTCCTGGTAGCTGAGGGAGGCACTTTCTGCCCTGCTTGGTGCTGCCCAGGACACCACACCTTAGCCTGTTTTTGCCCAGGGTGGCCACATGCAGGCTGTGTGTCCAAGTCCTCTGTGAGCTCAGAAAGACCAATACCAGGCTACAGAATCTTTGGACCCAGAGACTAGAAACACCACACACACGTGTGCAGACAGAGCTCTGTGGGACAGAGACACCGCCAGTTGTCCTGGGCGTCAGCTGGGGTACAGCATTGGTTGAGAGAGGGACCGTGCTGCCCCCTGAACAGGAAGCAGCAGGTGTGCGTTGATTTGCCAGCTGGCTATGGTGC